GCATCACCTGACAGCCCTGCTTTCAGGCCTGCATAATGTCGGTCTAGATTTCCTCTATGTGGTAGAGTATTTGCACTTTTTCTGACACTCTTCTGAGGATTCCGTTGTTTGTATGCACTTAACAAATTAGGGCTCCAGAGTTTAGCGCAATTATATAACTTCACACCAGTTGGGAACTATGTGAATCAGCCCTATTTGTTTTCATGATGGTTACATTGATCTAGATGTCAAACATATCCCTCTGTTTCACTGTTTGTCAAACATGTGCTAGTTTATGTGTGTCGGAAAACAAGAACCACGGAAAAACGTATCCAGAAGACTCCACAATGCATTTTTCTCTATTAAATTGCCATATGTATTACTTCAGTATTGTTCAATTCATTACTTGTTCGTGCGCATTCAGTTAGCTTTCATGGACTTCCGCGTTCTGCCGGAGCAGATATTGGCGTTGACCGGCTACTTACCACCTCTTATAGTATTTCCACGATTGGGTAAATGGAAAAACATAGGAAAAGTAATATCTTTATTCCCGTTTGTATTTGTGTTCGGAGGCTTTGCACACGCATTGCTGAACACGGCTGCCGTAGTCGCCAAAAGCCTACAGACAACCCACACCCCGGACGAAAACCCCATACTTTACGCTATTAGCGTTCTGTGGGGCTACTGCTACGCTTTGCAACCTCCTGTGGTCACCTTGGCCTACCTCGTGACCAGGCATCACTGGCATAACTGTCAAAGCTCTTTGAGAAACCTAATTAATTTGGGCTCCATTCCTATTGACACGGCGATCAGATGGAAAGCAATAGCTGCTGGTTTGTCGGCGCTGACTTTCGTGATGATTGCTATCTGGGAGTTTTTCTCCTGGTGGACATACTTGAATGATCCATACTGGCAAGAAATTGACGGGGATGGATATTTTGCACCATTACCCATACCGATCAGTGTCCTACAAGGTATTCCTTTATGGACAGCCTTGTGCACGATTCCCTGTTACTTGGTACAGCAACTGCAAATTTGTGCCATCACCAACACCCTTATGTTACGCGAGTGTATTGAAATGCAAGCTCGTATGAAGGCTCTTTGTGAAAATATGCCTAGCACAACGCCCTTGGACATTTTCCGGCTTGTGGAGAATTTCCAGAATTTCCAGATTGCATTGACGGAATGCGCCGATTTCTTGAACCGCGTTTATAGCTGGACACTGGCTGGCATGTTTGGTTGTAGCATGGTTCTGGCTTGCTCGTTCCTGGCAGTGCTGTTGTACAGCAGACCGGAGACGGTAGATAGCGTTGTTTTTAAGTATCTCAGTTTTGTGACGTTTTCCATTATCGTGGCGCTGTTTACAATCCCGCTGGTGTTAGCTAACGAACAGGTAGCGTTTGCACATGAATGCAGCTCGACATTGTCTCACAGGGAATTGTGTCAGCGTTTTTTATTACAGATAGAAGGATTTCCGCTGGCTCTTTACCGTTTGCAAATGTTTGTGGAGGATTATATGCAGACAGTGCCGGCGTATGCAAGAGTAAGACGCGTGCAGCCCTTTGCACTGAATATTATAATAATTATATGAACTTGCGTGCGCCTTCCTGCTTAAAGATTGTCCTTCTACAGAAACTCCAGAATTTACTAAATCTGCTCGAGGTTATGGAGCAAGCAGCGAATAATCACCCCTTAAGAATATCGGGAGGAGGATTATTCGTATATTCAAGACATCTTTTAGCTAAAGTAAGCGGCGCAGATTTTCAGACAGTGCATTTTTATACAGTTCTGACGGGTAGTCAATATTGTTTTCAGGTATGCACCATTCTCATATCCACGGCAGTCAGTGTTCAGGGAATCGTTGATCGAAGCCGACAAGCAAAGCCTGTCGTTTCAAGAGAATCATGATAGACCAATCCACTTTGTACAGCTCCATCCCCACTTATGGCGGCAGCAATTGCGCGATCGGCGCCATGCTGGTTTGCTCTTGTGATTCTATAGTGTTGTAGAAAAAGGGTTTTAATGGAAGCTGTAGAGAAATGTTACTAGGATGACGGTTGTCAGCATTCTGTTAACAAATTCAGAAAAAGATTTACATGTATGGCTTTCGGTGCCATCGATTATCAAAGATTTTGTTTTTTAGGCATATTACTAATACTCTGCAGTAATCATATTCAAGTTATTACGAGATTTTCACGTGTTGTGCACAGACTACATAGTAGCTGGAGCAGGGCCTAAAATAGTCAAAAGTCAATGATGGACACCCCTGGAGGGGGGATGATCTCCCCCCTCAGGGGGGTGAAGTCCAATGTCTGACCTTTAGGCGAATTCATATATACAGTCTGTACTTTGCTGATTAGATTTATCGCGTGTGCTGTACTTGATGAGGTGAGGACTACGTTACATATGTATGTGCAGCTGTCGAGTGTCGATCCAAGCGACTTCGTACCTAAGTAAAGATATCAGCTGGACATTCCCTTCGCGCGAAGCGCGAAGCCAACGGACACATTCGCCGAAACAATTCTAGAAATTCGAATAAAAATGCCGAATCACACTAATTCGTTTTATTACGTTGAGTTGCTGCTTGGTCGATCAGAAACAAGAGTAGCACAGTAGGCTAAAATTATGCAGTAAGTAAGCAGTGGCATCTTTCGGCAGGAAGCAACAGGAAGATTTTTGAGCTGCGTAATGCCTTAAGTAGTAGATAGTTCAGAACTTTAGAATATTATTCGTGTTTGACTGTCTCTTATGGCATTAAAGTTGCGAGAAACAGGCAGACCGCTAGCTGCACTCACACAACTTGCCCGGCATGCGCAAGGTAGCGAACAGACAAGCTGACCTTACTGACTTTATCTGTACTTCAGACAGGCCTAGAAGTGGATAAAGCGAAATATTTCATGTCTTCAACAGCTGGGTAAAAGGCAATATAACAAAATAAAAAAATTATTTTAAAATTCAGAGACCTCCATTTAATTTTCTCATTTTATTTGAATTTTACAATGATGGACACTTTCTGGAGCAATGATGGACACACTATTTTCAATGATGGACACTTTGTCCATTAATGGACACTATTTTAGGCCTTGAGCTGGAGTATCCTACAACATTCCCGCTGTAAATTTATTGTTGGATTATGTAAAACAATTGTCAGTAGTTTTCCACGCTACCGGACGCCCACATCAAGCACAAGTCAATCCGAAAGTTTGTAGTAATCCGAAAGCAACTGCTTTATAAAATTTGCATTATTGAGCGGTGAGCGCCACAAAGCCTTAAAGATTGAATGACAAGAAGTGCATAATTTTGTCTGCAATTGAGCTCGCACATTCTAGTGCTCCTTCCGTTAGCGTCATGCAATTTTTTTATTACCGATGTCTCAGTCACCGGTAGTTAGTAAAATTAGTTATTGAGCTTCTTGGGTTTCTTACATTTCTTTGATTATTTTAATTCTTTAGATTTCCAATGGTTTTTTCGGGTTTCTTAAGTTTTGAGATGTTGGTTGTTGTCTGTCACACTGGCATAACACAGCCCCGGCAACTGTTTCCTTACGGTCATTGTCTCCGGTCCGTAGCTTGTGATGTCGTCCACGTCCAGGTCCGTGTGATGGTCCGGACTGAGTTTGGAACGCGAATATGCGTGCATCCGTTTGTGGTTGCCTTCGAAGAGACCCCCGACGTGTAAATGCGGATCCAGCGGTCATTCGATCGCCTCATTGTAAGACCGGCACTTAAGTGGTCAAATCATACTCAAAGGAGAGTGAGTATGATTTGAGTTAAATAAGATTTACTGGTGCCTGTCCGAAAACGGACATTATTGCAAAAATAATAATCTGAAGGCAACCGGTATGGGGGACATTACTCCCGTAATACCAGGGAGTGGAGACCCATTTCTTAACACTATGGATATCACAGCGCCCGTACCATACCGATATTTCGACATCCCATTCAATAATGTCCCTTTCTGTCTGGAATATTTTATTAAGCTCGAGTACGGTGGACAGCGTCACGAAAACAATATCAACAAATTAAATAAAGAAGTGATCCCAGTTCGAGCGTGAGGAGACGGTTGCTAAAACCAGCTGAGCAATGCCACGCCAAATCTCTAGACTTAAACGTTGAAAGAAAAAAAAAGGAAGTGGATCGGGACTCGCCGGTTCGAACAAATAACTTCTTACCGATTTTTTTAAACACAACAACAGCACCTTCACACCATGGGCCAAAAGACTCGCATGCCAAGGGAACAAAATGGCATCTGTCCAGAATGGTGCGGTACTTGTTCTTATTTTCCACGGAGGCCGGTTCAGCGGCGGCTCCTGCTAATCGGGACGTGGCTTCTACATAAGTGTCACACATCGTATCACGGCCCTTTTTGATTAACTAATTCCTGCACTCAGTCGGACACGAAAACAACACACGACCAAGCACGATATAGTGGAACGAGGTGAAAGAACAAAAGAGGGAAGGTCAGTCATGTAATAAACGAGATCCGTAAGAAAGATACCGGGGCGTTTATTTATATCGTGGTGTCCGATACCCCAAAGGGCCCCAAACATTACCATCATGACCTCAGGAATGCAAGAAAACTTAATAAAGCAACCAAATCAGTATAAAGTCAGTCAAACCGACACATTGTCGGAAGGAGTCCCTAGTACGCACGCATTTTATGTGAATGACCTAGTCATGTCAGATCGTCAAAAAATCTTTGTAAACCAAAAAAAGCTGTTAGAAAATCTTTGCCAGGCTGCTGGGAAAAAAGACTGCAAACAGGAAACAGGTGCCTATAGTCCACGGAAAAAAGGGATGCGAGCTTTATGTAATAGAAAAGGGGTACCTATAGTAAAACAGGGTGCAAAAGGGGGTGCCTATAGCACACGGGGGTGAAAGGGGTGCCTATAGTCTCACCCTATATATAATTAGGTTTACCACTTATCAGTCAGACGTCCCAGTCTTACAGTAACACTGAAATTTATTATCAATACCAAACAAAAGGAACAACCCAGTTGTTCTCCAGTCGCAGCCGTAAAAAGCGTCCACATGTGGCAGTGTGCTGCAAAAAAGTGTTTCTGAAATCCGCAACCAAAAAGAAATTTCTAGCTTGTCCAACAGTACTATTTCGCGGCCAGCTGGTTTATTGGTCTGGCAGACATAGTTGCTAGTCTTTGTTCGACAAAGAGACGGCTATCCGAGACTGCACCGAAATGCAAATCTTCGATCAGTATTGATGCCAGTTATGAAACGAAAGGAATTGTGACAACAGATAGACGCAACTCCGTTTAGCATTCATAGTTGACAGTCAGCGTGACACAGGCCGCCACTGGACCCGGGCAGCTCTACCGGGCGCACAACACTCCAGCGATCCGACGCGGCTTCGTACACCTCCCATTCCGTCAGCTGCACCCCTTGGCGGTAGCATCCACCGCACACGTGCAGCTGGTCATTCAGCACGAACATACAGCTTCCGTAGCGGGGAATCGTTAGATCAGGTAGGCGCTGCCACTGTGCACCGGCCACACCCAACTGCAACCGCTCACAGCTACCGAGGACGGCTACTGCTCCCGTGGCCGCAGATGGCCCGCACCCACCCGTCACGTACAGGTAGCCGTTGCAGATTTTCGCGGCGAAACTGCAGCGCGCCTGCTGCATCATCGCCGGCAGCTCGCTCCAATCGTTGGTCGCCGCGTCGAACATCTCTCCGGAGGCCAGGGGCACGATGTCGCGCGTGCACCCCGTGGCCGGGTATCCGCCCAGGATGATGAAGTACTGGTTGTTCCACACGTCGAATGCCGCGTCTTTCCTGTCAACGCACCACCGGGTCAAATTAATTGCTCAACTACCAAATAGAATTGTTCCGAATGCTCCTCAAATTTCCTGTATTCTCGACCCAGTTACCTTAACCTTCATTGTTATTCGCATTCCGGAACCTTTCACAAATGTGATCTGAGTACCGGAAAACCCTGACACGTGTAATGTGAGAAACATGATGTGAACATCCTGTGATCACACGTGCACGATCTACGCATATAGGTCTATGACCGACGCCCATGCGGAATACCCTCTAGGTATTCACGTGTACTACCCTTAGTTTCCATTGTGTGTGTTTACACTGTAATACACACAGATGGAAGTTTTATACGCAGATGTACCATTTGCATATTAGGCGCCATCCATAAATTAAGTCACGCAAATAGGGGAGGGGAGGTACTGAAAGCGTTACTGTTTGTTGCAAGGGGGAGGGGGGCTTCAAAAATTTGTTACGATTTTGACGTCAACATGCTATATCGATGGAGGGTTCTCATTTTGTTACGTAACGCTCGGGGGAGGGGATCTGAGTTTGTTAGCATTGGTGACACAGGGGAGGGCCGGGGTATCATAATGTCCAGTTTTTTGCGTGACGTAATTTATGGATGCCGCCTTATGAGATCCTACCATCGCACTGCCTGTATGCATGCTACAGTCTACAGCAGACAGTCATCATGTACTATCAATATTTCTAAAGATACTTACAGCACGGACTGTCTTTCTCTATTAGTAAAACCCATGTATTACTCACGTATCCACCGCTTTGTTCCACATGCAAACAGCTTTTCAAAAATTAATACTGCCTTAAAATAATACTGCCTTATTGTTTTTACACAAGCTTGTACGTAACATACATGACAATAATGTTAACAAATCATAAAGTTGTATAATGTTGAACTACGGAGAGAACGCCTTGGTGTCTTTGCGGTACACGAATCCCATTAATTTTGTGAAAGTGTCCTTAATGCAAAAATTTGGAAGAATTTACTGTGGTGCGAACTAACCGAATGCATTTGGGATTGTGGATGTTGTTATCGAAGCCTCGCGCTGCGGGATCGTAGGCGAAGGAGGCCGGGCTCGGCATGGTGCCAGTGCTCCAGCCGTAGACGCGGCCCTGGAGGCTGACCAGCGGGTCAGCGGCGTATTTGAGATGTTTCTTGAACAAGCACTCCATCTCCGCCTTAAACGCATCGTCATCCGCACCGTTCTTCGCAGTCAAAGTCAAGGCGTACGCTTGCAAATGCGCCCGATGCTGGACGCGGAACAACACCCGGTTGTCCACTAACAACCCCATCTCCTTCACGACGTTCCACGCGACCAGTTCCGCTGGCAACTGGATGCGGTGCAGCGTGTTCTGACGCGCGTCGTACACTCTTAGACTGGCTGTGTGCCGGTCGGCGTAGAACAGACAGGCTACCTCCTTGAAATGACGTTCCCGGGGCACAGCGGTCAGAATGACGGCATCCGGCGGGAAGAGGCGCGTCTGCAGGTCCAGGAGGGCGTCGCGCAACGGCCCGGTGGCGGTGAGGAGGGCCAGGGGCAGCATGTCCCCCAGAAGATCCCAGCGCAGCTCCGGCAGGACGATTTCGAAGTTCTCCCTTGTCCAGCGCGCCGGGTAGTCCACGCGGAACCATTTCATCACTTTCTGGAAGTTAAAAGGAGAGACAGTATTACGGTACACTGTGTTGAAAATTTTGAAGAACTGAAACACTGATGTCTAAAGCCCGTAAGTACTAAATTATTCACTATTAATTTTTGGAGAAATTATTAAAAAGTGAAGTTACTACAAATCCAGAAATTCAAAATGTAAGCCAGAAACTGTCTAAAGTCACCAACATCATTCTCGTACGGCGGCATGCCGGTCTCGGCCAGTTTCCTTACTAACCTGATACAGTGCCATTTCAGTTGAGAAGGGGATGAAATCCTGCCGCAGAAGCTCCAGCAGAGCGCCGAGTGACAGATGCGCCTCGGCCACGGGTGGATCAACCGGCTCTGGCGGAAGGCTCTGGCTCGTAATCGCTGGCTGGCCGTGAGCGCTGTCAGTGGTGCTCGAGGCCACGGTCGCCGGTATCCCGACAGCAGCTCGCGGCTGGACGGTCATCGAGGCGCTAGAGTCTTGGCCAGCTGCAGAAGCCCTTGGCTGTGGCGTTCCTACGTTCCAGAGAAACACAGACACCATCAATAAAATTGAAAAGGACATTCCTTGATATCAAAGTAATATCATACAAAGCAAATATCGTATGGTCAACGCATCCGTTACTTGTTAGACGCCGGGCCGCTAACGCCGTTCATGTTAACGTTACAATGGACGACATGAATTGAATGTGGTTACATTTATTTAGCCACAAACCAAGTGTAACCCATAAATGTGGTTACACTCAACCCGCGCGCAACCAGAGACTTATATGTACTCAAATAGGCAAACTCCGTGTTGTCTATCGGCCTTCTGATGTTAAAAAATGCCAACAAATTCGATACCAAGCAGGTTGGTTTTTATTAGATCTAAGAGAAAATTGAGGCACCTACAGTTTCTTGTAGACATAGCATAGGATTCAAATCCACGGTTTGGTATCTGTTTTCACGCAGGGATCCTATGCTTTGTCTACGAGAAACTACAATGGCTCGATCTTGTCTTAGATTTCGCAGGTGCCAAACTGTTTGATATCAAAACTCTCGCTAATTTTTTTTATTCTTTTGAGGTTGCGCACGGGCCCGGGTAAATTAGGTTCGAACTGTGCAAGTTCCAATTTCTTGAGTCTAGCATACGAGTCTACTGTCTACGCGCAATGGACATGACCGACTTATTTTGGTTTGTTGTTAGTCTTGTTTTCAGAATATCGGTCCTCGGATCGAGTGTCCAGTGTAAACCACATTTATGGTGTTCACTTTAAGTTAGCAAATTCCTGGTGTTTGCTCGGCACTTACGGTTTGCTGCACGCAGCACTGTTGGCAGCGGGATCTTGAGGAAGGCCGAGGCCGCCAGCAGCTGACTGGTGGCGGCGGGACCTCCGGAGCCGTTGCGGGAGTGACGGGTGTCGATGGGCAGACCGGGATGCAGCGCCGCCTGCAGGACGAGATGCGCGGCCCACGGGTCAATGTGCGCCGGCAGATTGACGTGAAATCGGTCGTTCTGACGGTGACATGGCAACGCCAACGCTTCCACCGCGGACCAGCGGCCGTACGCCACAAACTCCCCTGTCACCACGGTCACCAGCTGCGGCGGTGCGCTCCGTTCCTGCTCGCTGTCACCGCTGACGCTCGCACTCCCGGGATCGGGTTTGATCGCACCACAGCCGGGATCGGACTTGATGCTCTTGGTGGTGCTGTTGCTGGCGTCGTCCGCTTTTCGCTTTCCCGTTTTGTCCATGGTCGGGTTTGCTGCAAACATGTAAGTACCGTAAAATCAATGGTGATGCTAATTTGATCTTAGACACAGAAAAAAGCGTAGAGTACGGAAATCTAAGAAAGCTAACGGAAATCGATTCTCGCAGACACTGCGGCAAAATAGGTTACTTTCGAAAAGCAATACGAATACTGGGAAGTATCGAACAAATCCTGATTTCATAAACAGCTAGACGAACTTACCGAACACCAATGCTTCAAGAAAGGCAGTACAAGGGCCCGTTCAGGCATACACCTATCTATCTTAATTGCTTAGTGGGATTTGAGTTCAACCGGGGACAACCACCTAATTGCATTAGGTCCCAAAATTGCGTTCACGCAGCACACCTATGCTAACGTTAATTACCTAGCTCTTAATTGGTAGATAGCAATGCGCAGCCTGAACAGTGCTTTCCTATCAAAAGGTACCTTTTCGTTTGTTCCGTAGACGCAATGGTTAAGACAAATAGGAACCACTCGAGGTTCCTATTTGTCACGGATACACATGTATTTCTGATTGAAATGCTTTCACCATGATTATGCATGACCTAAAAAATGTTTGATCCAGGATACGACTGATCTGGCTTTTACGAGTAACAGACAAATGCCGTACTTTAACGTTTACAATCTACTAAATCATAAATGCTAGCACATTTTAAATGGTATCGTGCGTTTGTTGCATAAGCAAATCTGCATTTAATGCAAAGTTCCATTTATATAATTAAAACACACGCGATAATATGTTGATCTATATGTGTGTTTGTGAAATTAGAGATCTACCGCTAGCAAAAACAATATGTACTTTGCTAGCAAAAACAATATGTACTTTTCACTGGGTTCTAAATTTAATTTGAGAAAGACCATCGGTACTGGTAAGTCTGCACCTGCAGTTAATAAATATATAGCTTCATGTGACCAGCCGCTTGATGAAGATGGAAATTTCAACTTTACTAACACCGTGGAAATATTTCGTTTATACTTTAAAGGAACAAAACTCTTTCATATTTATTTATTGCCTTATGACGTGATAGACTTTCACTGCTCTATACAGCGATCCTCATACGTGCACCCAGTCCGTGCTTTTTTATAATTTGTTCTCGATATACTGTTACAAATAATTGTATTAAAGCTGTGGTTACACTTTGCGGTTAGTAAACTTTTCACTTCGGCACTAGGCAGTAGGCAACCGCCCGCTGTTTCGGCAACTGGCAACCGCCCACGGTTATTGTAGGCAGCGCTATACGCATCCGCCCATTGTGACGGTAGCGAGCAGCCGCCCGAGGCGGTTGAGCGGTGCATTATGGTGAGCCGATATTAGGCGTATGGCAAGCCGAATAATTAACGAACCAACTGTCGGGTAAATATGTCGAGTAAATACGACATATTATGTCGGGTAAATACCGAAATTACGAACACTGTATTATCTGGTGTGTTGTGAGACGTTTCATTTTTTGAACCTGGAAAACTGATTTCGACTTTTGCCCGCTTTTGAAGCACTGACTTTAACATGCATTCAGTAATTTATTGTATTTATTGCAACAAATAAATGGCACCCAAAGAACTGAAATACTGAGGTAGCGCAAGCGTGAAATCCGTTTTTATTCTCTGCAATTGCGATTAAATAATATATGGTGAAGCACACGGAACTGTTACCGTTAATGTTATTACACATATTTATCCTACAGTGACGCAGTCATTTAATAATCGATCTTTATAAACAGTAAGAGTGTGAAAATAATTACCATTCTGTGATTCTATTATATTCTGTCATTATATTCGCATAAATACAGATAGGTGGCTTGCGTTCACGCAAACCCGACTGACTATCGCAGTCGCCTAAACAACAACTTTTATAGCACCTATCCAAAGGTGTCTGTGTGAACGCAATTCTGCTCCCTATTTAGGTATCTATTTAGCAAAGCGGGCCGCGTTCACGCATACTGCTAAAAAACTGGCCGTTTTGGGCGGCGCTTCAATAGAAAATGGATAGATAGAAGTCAGCGTGAATCCGGCCCAAGATTGCCCCACGTGCCAAATGTTTGACACTTTGACAGGTGATAATGCAAGTGGGAGAAATCAGAGCTGTAGATCCTCTGCTGAATTTTACGTCGTTTGAACTTTGAACCAATAATAAGAAGACCAAAAGGGTTGAAGAAATTTGCCGAATGAACCGTCCACTACACATGCAGCACCAAGCACGCGAACGGTATCTGGGGAGGCGGCCAACATGAGGACCTGACGTGAGAATGGGCGTGGTCGAGACAGCGGATTGGTTGACGCGTGAGCCGGCGTCGGCACAGTGGACGCGGAATCTTTGTGAGTCAGCTTCCACTTATCGGCGGTTTCTTCTTCAGGCAGGCACCGCGCCGCCTTGCGCTGGCTCATTCTTCTATCAACGCCGAATCAGGAGACAAAGGCACTCACAGATACGAAAGACGACCCTGGATATGAGCCTGAAATCACGCTCATCGGCACGCGATGCCGTTATTGTGCGTGAACGACCTGAATAACATTTTTTTGCTGTAGCTGCATAGTGTGTTCTGTTTGTATGTACAGTTTATCGGCTGTGATTAGATAAAAATGCAGATAACCAAATTACACGTAAATAATTAAAAATTTTTGTTTGACGATGGATTGTGTTCTCTGTTCAGAGTCGGCTATTATTGCATAAATCGGATTTAGATCGGATCGAATCGGATCGGATGTTATTGGATGTTTTGGTAGGGCTTCATTACTAATTTTGTAATACAGTGAAACCTCCAAGATACGTACACTTCCGTTCAAAAATTTTCGTACGTATCTCAGAGGTGTACGTACCATAGAATCGCCACCCCAAGCCCCCCTGGGGGGGCTGTATAATGAGGGCAGTGCCCCACCGCGGAATACTCAGTGTACTGCATTCTACTGCACTGTATACTGCGTGCAGTTCTGAAATGTACTGCAAATGTTATATGCTGCACTAGTTCATACACATTTTTATCTTTTTACAGCATATAAGCAGGCGGAAATAGTCTCTCCCACATACTTCAAACAGAAAACATCGTCCGAATCAGTTCAGAACAAAAGACAACATTTAGATTATCACAATTTTCCCATCAAATATTTAAAAATTAAATGCTGACTCCCCGGTTACGTATATTCGAGGTGATTGCGTACAGTTCAATGCTTAGGCGGTACAGAGAAAAGGTGTACGTGTACGCATCGTAGAGGTGTACGTTACGTAGAGGTTCCCCCTGTACTGTAGTCTACGGAGAGTTTCGGTACAGAATTTTTTGTACTTAAGATAGAGGTGTACGTATCTTGGGAGTGTACGTAAGAGGAGGTTTTACTGTAGTAGTGTCTTGCTAATATTACTGTGATAATTATACGGAAATAAACATTAGTCCATTTGAAATGTCAAAATCTAATTAGGTCCACGTGAGAGAACGCCAGCACAGCTGACCTCCCATTATTCTTTTACGACCAACTACCTTACTTCAGGTCTGCATTTTTATTTAATCACACCCGATGAACTGTACATACAAGCAGAACGCACCGTTACAGCTACAGCAAAAACATCTTGTTCAGATCGTTCTCACGCCCAGTCACGCCATCGAGCGGAGACGAGCGAGGCTTGCAGGCTCATTTGCAGTGTCTTCTTTCGGCCCGCGCTCAAGCTCGGACTTCCGACTTGGACTACTAAAACTTGGGCTCGGACCACACTTGGACTTCTAAACTTGAACTTTTAAACTTGGACTTGGACTTCAAAACCTGGACTTCTAACTTGGACTTCTCCTTGGAAAGTACTAGTTTGCCTAAGAAATCTGAGTAATCTAAGAAAACCAAGAAACCTAAGAAATCTAAGTAGCCTAAGAAACCTAAGAAACCCAAGAATTCTAAGAAAAGTCCAAGTTGAAGAGTCCAAGTCCAAGTTTAGAAGTCCAAGTGTGGTCCGAGTCCAAGTTTTAGTAGTCCGGGTCCAAGTCCGAGCTTGAGCACGGGCCTCTTCTTTCCCATGTGTGAGCGCGCTTGCCGGTGGAATCCGTCTGTCCAATCTGTGCGCGTGGCGCATGCTCATCTCCGAACGTACGTTGATATAGGAGTGAGTCAGCGCAAGGCGTAGCTGCCTGCCTGAGCACCTGCCTGACCAAGCAACCGCCGATAAGTAGGAGCTGACTCACAAAGGATCCGCGTCAACAGTGCAAACACCGGTACGCGTCAACCAATCCGCTGTCTCGACCAAGCCCGTTCCCACGTCAGGTCGGCATGCTGGTCGCATCCACAGACAACTGTTGCTGAGTTGGTGCTCCGTCTGTACTGGGCAGATCATTCGCCAAACTTTCGCCTACGTGGTTAGCTGACATTGCCGATTTATTTTATCAGTTCAATCTTCGACTTAAACTTTGCAGACGAAGTACAACTTGGTCTCTGATAGTTGAACACTTACTTGGTCCAACTTTCCATATTGCTTGTCAAACACATGGCACGCGCCCCGCAGTCACCGTGCAGTGCAACATATTTCACGCGATAGCGAACCTGATGATGGACAGTCGGGGAAAGCGTAAAGCGGACGACGCTGGCGGCAGTGCTCAAAGGATTACCCGGATTAGGCTTGATCCCGGCCGTGACGTCAGCGCGAGCGCCAGTGGTAGCGGAGAGCCGGAAGGGGCCGGGATGACCGTCCAGGCGACCGTGGCTTCGAGCACCACCGACGGCGTCCACCCAGCAAATTCGCGCCAAATCCCGCCGCGGCTGCCGCCGGCCCATCTGCCCGTGGCCGACGCGCATCTGACACTCGGCGCTTTGCTGGCGCTTCTTCGGCAGGATTTCATTCCCTCCTCAACGGAAATGGCATTGTATCTGGTAAGGAAACTGGCCGAGGCCGGTAGGCAGCCGCACGAGAATGATGGTGGCGTCGACAGTTTGCGACGACGGTTTCCTGTCTGCATTTTGTTATACTCGAATAGCCAGTAAAATTGTGTACAGTCTGTAGAAAACCATCTGATGTACGAGCAGTAACTTCAAATAGGTAACTTGAAATGCTTTATCGTAAATAGTAAAGCCAGTTAACGGTAAATACAGTGCTGTATTGAATCACGTGATAAGCGGTACAGTGTATAAATCTAAGCAGCCCAAGCAACGCTTTGTATGAGTACACTGCCATCACTACACTCCAAAATAAAGCTGTTGTTGTGTTTGATATCTGTCTGCCTTGTTAGAAGGTGATGAAATGGCTCCGCGTGGACTATCCAACGCGTTGGACTGCGGAAAACTTCCGGGTGGTCCTGGCGGAGCTGCGGCGGGATCTAATTCCCGACATGCTGCCACTGGCCCTCCTCACGGCCACCGGACCGCTGCGCGACGTTTTACTGGAGCTGCAGGCGCGCCTCTTCCTACCAGACGCCATCCGGTACACCGCAGCGCCACGGGAACGCCATTTCATCGAAGTGGCCTGCCTGTTCTACACCGATCGCCACCAGACCAGTCTCCGCCTGTACGACGCGCACCACAACACACTGCACCGCGTCCCGCTGCCGGTGGAACTGCAGACGTGGAATGTCGCGAAGATGATGGGCCCGGTGGTGGACAACCGGGTGTGGTTCCGTGTCGAGCACGGCAAGGAGCGTCGAGCGTACGCCTTGACGATGAAGATGAATGAGGATGCTGGTGGTGATCCCATGACGACGGAGATTGAGGGCATGTTCAAGGGGAAACTGACGGAAGCGGCCTCGCCGCTGGTCAGCCTCAACGGCCTGGTCTACGGCTGGAGAACCAACGCGGATTCATACACGTTTAATCCCGACGCACGCCTCTTCGGGTATGATGTTCGCAATCCCAACTGCCTTCGGTTAGTTAGTTCTCACAACAACGTGCACAAATCATTCAACGACAGAATATACAAGTGTGTATCAGTTTGGTTCGAATTAGCAGGAAAGAAGCGGCATCTGACGTGTGGAACAACCGGTATGTCATCATCCTGGGCGGGTATCCGGCCACCGGCGAAATGTACGACGCCGTGACGAACCTGTGGAGTGAGATGCCGGCGATGCTGCATCCGCGCTGCAGCTTTGCCGCCAAAGTCCTCAACGGCTACCTGTACGTGACGGGCGGAGTGGGTCCCGAGTCGGCCGTCCTTCGCAGCTGCGATCGGCTGCAGCTGGGCGTGGCCGGGGCACAGTGGCAGCCAGTGCCCAATCTGGTCGTGCCGCGCTACGGACACTGCATGTTCGCCTTGAATGACCAGCTGTTCGTGTGCGGGGGATCCAGCCGCCTCGGGGTGCCGCTGCCCAACTGGGAGAAGTACGACGTCGCGGCGAATCGTTGGAGTATTGTGCACCCGCTGGAGGATCCCCAGGCTGCTTCCTCCCCGGTGTCGGCCTGTGTGACGCTCACCGTCCACCACAAAATGCTGCGACGTTGAAAGCGGTGGTTCGCACTTGTTATAGTTGTTGCTTGTCGCTGCGTTTTCGATGTTTTGATATAGGACCAAGTTTCTTCGCATTTGTTGGCATTTTTTAATTCGCCCTTTTAAGCTTTTTCTGTAGCACCGTCAGGCCAAAGGATGGTTTCACTAAAACGCTGCTGGGCAAACAGATGCCTTAACCAGTACATGCGCTTGCTTTTTAATTTTGATCGGTACTGTATCGTTAATGACTGAGTTTTTTTATGCATTGGGGTTTTAATGTATAATAAAGCAAATGCAAGAATGCACCACGTGCCAAACGTTTAAGCGGCAATATTGGAGCGGGTGAACAACGGTAAGAGATCCAGCTGAATTCCCTCTGTTGAATTGGACGTTAAAGTTTAAACTGAAAATTAAATCGGCAAAAACAACCAGCCACGTTGGAGAAATTTCGCTGAATGGTCTGCCCAACACACACGGAGCGCCATCTCAGCTAACGGCGCCTTGTGGACGCGGCCAGCATGCGAACCGGATATGGGAATGGGCGTTGCCGCGACAGCGGATTGGTTGACGCGTACGCCGGGCGAGGGCACTGTGGACGCGGAACCTTTGTGAGTCAGCTCTCTGCTTATTTCTCATTCAGACAGACAACGCGCCGCCTCGCGCCGGCTCGCTCTTTTATCAACGTCGATTCAAGAGACAAGCACGCGCCACGCGCACAGATTGCGAAGGCAGATTCGACCGGCAAGCGCGCTCACAGATGAGAAAGGCGACCCTGGATTATCAGCCTGGAAACGCACTCGTCGCCGCTCGATGACTTAACAGAGCGTGGAATCACCTGGGTCCTGAACAACGGCATTCGCTGGTGAACCGCAGAATGGGAGATCAGCCGTGTCGGCGTTTCTCTCACGTACATCTTGTTAAATGCAGGCTGCTTGAGCCCGATTTATGCCAAACCAACCGACTCCGTAAAAAAAAATTAATACAACAATAATCGAAAATTTGACGCTGATCTGACGTTGTGTTAAATTAGTTGTGTTTGCAATTTTGTGAACTGTATTTTTCGTTCAGATCTGTGTCTTTATTTGATCATAACTAATAAACTGTACATACAGACAGAGAAAACTATACCATTAAATCACCAAAATATTGTTTCAAATCGTTCCTCCGCCTAGTTACGTTATCGAGCGGCGACGAGCGAGGCTTGCTTTTATGCTCATTCCCAGGGTCGTCTTTCCCATGTGTGAGCGCGCTTGCCGCTCGAATCCGTCTTTCCAATCAGCTGCGAGCGTGCTTATCTCTTGGATCTGCGCTGACGACGCCGGCGAACGCGTCAACCAATCCACTGTCTCGGCAGCGCCCATTCACACGACAAGTTGGCACGCTAGCAGCCTCCACTGACGCCGTTCGCTGAATTGGTGCTGCCTGTGCGTCGGAAAGATCATTCAGCAGAAGTTATTCTTCATGGCTGGCTGTCATTGCTGATTTAATTTCCCGGTTTAAGCTTCAACGTAAAACTAAGAAGGGGAAATACAGTTAGACCTAGTATCGCTTTCCACTTGTATACTTTTTGGATATTTCCTGTCAATTATTCGGCACGTGGTGCAATCTTGCCTTTGCTTTCTCTAAGCGGATTGATATTTGGTAAGTACGTGTAAATTTTTTTCCACACTGGATCTGCCTTTGCCGCTTGCTCCACTTACTTCCCTATTTGGCAGTCTGATGCTTAGACTATACTTTCTCATGCTAATTAATTGGGACACATTTTCTGGTTACACTTGTTCTGGTGGGCAATAATCTCCAGTTTTCGTACGACTGTTCTAAGGGATGTTGTTCTGCCGAGACGTTTTGCTTCCGCTAATTTGCCACGCTAGCCTTCAAAGCAGCGTTTATGTACGTAGCCGTATGAATTTCTGAAGGCGGTGAGATAGCAAAATGCTCGATCGTGTACCTGAATGACCTTTCTTTAGTTCCAATAGATCTGAAGTTTCTTAGGATTCTAAAGCATTCTTAGGTGCCCACGACAACCAGCTGCAGAGCAAGCGTAAAATACCTAGTATAGAGCAAATAAAGTAAGCAGCACCTGTGGTTTGACTGGTTGTATGTAGGAAGCCTGATCATGGACGGTGTGGGGAAGCGAAAAGCGGACGACGCTGGCGACAGTACCACCAAGATCACCCGCATCAAACCCGACCCCGGATGTGGCTCGGTCAAGCCTGATCCCGGCAGCGAATGCGTCAGCAGTGCCGGCGAGCAGGAACGGAGCGCAGCGCCGCAATTCGTGGCCGTAGTTACGGGGGCGTTTAAGGTGTACGGTCGCTGGTCGGCGGTGGAGGCCTTGGCGCTGCCTTTGCGCCGTCAGGGCCATGACTATCACGTCCTTCTGCCGGCGCACGTCACCCCGTGGGCGGCCTATCTCGTCCTGCCTGCAGGCGGCGCTGTATCCCGGTCTGCCCATTGACGATCGTCACGCCCGCAGCGGCGCTGACGGCCCTGCCACCACCGCTCAGCTACAGGCTGCCTCCGCCTTTCTCAGGATCCCGCTTCAAGAGTGCTGCGTGCAGCCGACCGTAAGTGCCGCGCTGAAACAGGGAACTTACCAACTTAACTTTAGTATGATAGCGTTAGTAGTCCGTTGAACCGTCTAACACGCAATCGAATGCGTTAAGCATAACATAATGCTATATCGAGCTGTTGCTGCTTTTAATGATGGTGTCTGTGCTTCACTGCGACGCAGGAACACCACAGCTAACGGCTGCCGCATCTGACCAGGACTCGGAGGCCTGGATGATCGTCCAGCCGGGCGCCACCGTCTCGTCCCGGGCCACCACCGACATCGCTCAGCTATCTAATTTAAGCCAGACCCGGCCGCCACCGCGGGCCGATCCCCCCGTGGCCGACACGCATCTGACACTGGAAGCTTTGCTGGTGCATCTTCGGCAGGATTTCATTCCCGCCACAACTGAGATGGCGCTGTATCTGGTAAGAGAAACCGGCCGAGGCCGGCAGGCAGTCGCACGCGAATAATGGTGCGTTTACCTTTTCGACAGTTTGCGTCGATGGGTTTCTGTCTGCATTTTCGAATGCTCGATCAGCCAGGGATGTATTATTGAGTCTGTAGAAAACCATGTACTGCAAGAGCAGTAACTTTTACTTGATCCTAAGTAGTAAAAACTGTAGCTGATAATAAGTATACGAAACTTGTGCCGTAGAGTTAGTAGTATTTTAGTTCATCCAAAATTTTCAGTACAATCTGCTGCAGTATCAATTGGTGCAACGCTTTCCGGTACATACTACGGAGGCCTTCGCAGTTGTGTAGGATGTTTCTCTGCGAGTAATGGAATTTTACATAATTGTTGTTAGTTTTTCCAGATGGTTTTAAGGTTTCGATCATAAACTTCTAGAAAACCAAAATAAATTTACATAACTATGTACGGCAGTAGCAGGACGTATTAAATCAGGCGCTCTTGTGCAAGTATTGCTGTTGGCAATTTCGTAAGGTCTTTAATACTGTATTTTCGGAGTTCTCCGTAAATACAATAAACAGTCTTTGCACCGTACGGTACATCGGTGTCATGCTCTGCACTGCACACAGTTCTACACTGAATTACGTGATAAGCTGTACTTCTTAAATCTGAGAACCGTGAGCAACGCTTTAGTACTTTCCAAAATAAGCTGTAGTACTGGTTAACAAATACCTGTCGCCCTTGTCAGAAAGTGATGAAATGGTTCCGCGTGGATTACCCTGCGCGCTGGACGTTGGAGAACTTCCGGGTCGTCCTGCCGGAGCTGCGCTGGGATCTGATTCCCGACATGCTGCCCCTGGCCCTTCTCACCGCCACCGGGCCGCTGCACGACGTCCTTCTGGACCTACAGACGCGCCTCTTCCCGCCAGACGCCGTCCGCTGCACAGCCGCGCCGCGGGAACGCCACTTCATCGAAGTGGCCTGCCTGTTCTCCGCCGATCGACATCAAACCAGTCTGCGTCTGTATGACGCGCGCGGGAACACACTGCACCGCATACCGCTGCCGACGGAACTCCAGACGTGGAACGTTGTGAAGGAGATGGGCCCGGTGGTCAACAACCGGATGTGGTTCCGTGTCGAACGGGGAACGGAGTTTCGAACTTACGTCATGACGATGAAGGTGAATGAGGATGCTGATGGGGATCAGGTGACGACGGAGATGGAATGCATGTTCCAGGAGCAGCTGGCGACGGCCGCCTCTCCACAGGTCAGTCTCAGCGGTCTGGTCTACGGCTGGCGCATCGGGACTACGCTCAACACAGCCTCCCATACCTACACGTTCGATCCTGACGCGCGCCACTTCGGCTACAATGTTCGCAATCCCAACGGCTTTCGGTTAGTTAGTTCTCAGTTCTCACCAAAATGTACATGAACCGCTGAGCGGCAGAATACGAACAAGTATCGTAGTAATATGGCTTCTAATTATCAGCAAAGAAGCGGCCTTTGACGTGTGGAACAATCGGTATTTCATCATCCTGGTCGGATATGTGGCCGGAGACCCCGTGCTGGCCACCGGGGAGATGTACGACGCGGTGACCAACCAGTGGAGCCAGTTGCCGGCCATGTCATCTTTCCGCTGCGGTGCCTCTGCCAAAGTCCTCAACGGCTACCTGTACGTGACGGGTGGCGTCGGTCCAGAATCAACCGTTCTTCGCAGCTGCGAACGGCTGCAGCTGGGCGTGGCCGGCGCACAGTGGTAGCGCCTGCCCGACCTGGCCGTGTCGCGCTACGGACACTGCATGTTCGCCTTGAACAACCAGCTGTTCGTGTGCGGGGGATCCAGCCGCCTCGGGGTACCGCTGGCCCACTGGGAGAAGTACGACTTATCAGTTAATCGGTGGAGCATTGTGCGCCCGCTGGAGGATCCCCAGGCTGCTGCCTCGCCCGTGTCGGCCTGTGTGACGCTCACCGTTCACCACAAAATGCTGCGACGTTAAAAGCGACAGTTCACTTTTGTCGTATGATTGAACTTGTTACCTATCGCTGTATTTTCGGATTTTGATTATGGCCAGGACCAAGTTTATTTGCTATCGTTAGCATTTCCCCATTTGCGACTTTAACCCTCCAGCGGGCGGCACCCGAAGGAGTGCGAATTTTCTTTTGAAAATCGGGATTTCCCGATGAAAAAAATCAATTAAGATAGGGAATTTTTTGTGAGCTTGTGCTGACCATAGGTCAGTGGTGGTGACTAGGGTGTTTGCCAACGCCAGTGCCCATGGACGGTCTACAGCATATAAATGCTTATTTTTGTAACAATTAAGCTAACAGGAATAAAGTAAAAACACTTACTTCATTAAATAGCACAAAAAAAGTACTTTAAAAGAGAAGTATAGAAGTGGTCAACAATTTGACCACTGGTCAGTAAAAAATTAAAAACTGCCAAAACCCGTTTTGTTGCATTTTGACCACTGCTATATACAAAAAACGTAGAAAACAAGCGATTCTGAGACTATTCTTTCCCAAAACGTTCATCAATCTCTCCTATGGCACTAAACGAAGCAGTCTTTGTGCAATTTAACATTGCACTTCCTGCATTTCTGACACACCGAGTTACCTTCACACTGCCTGCGTTGTTCGGCTTTGCACGTTTCATGGATGTGGCCGCAGTTGCCGGTATGGGGACAGCGGCGGAAATGGTTCAGATGCAAAGGCGATTGGCGCCGAACCAGATATTAGTTGTCACTCGCACTTTTTCGAACGAAATTCATTAGCGACCGGATGTGACCTATACAAGGCTGTTCGGAAACGTTAACATCGCTAATGTGATCATTACAGTTTGCAGTCGCCCGAGACTGGTCAAAACTCAAAATTTGCATGTTTTTTAAAGCTACGTGGCTTCACAGCTTTGCTTGCCCAAGCGGTGCATCGGTATTCGGTATCGAAGGTGGAACGCGGCAGAAAGCAGTGTTGTGCTGCCATTTCAATTCACACAGCTACAATTATACACTGACGGTAGAATTAAAATCACGTCTACCATGCCGACCGCCCGGGGTGGTGTTCAGCAACCCCATGTTTTGCCAACTTCCAACAACCAAACCGCATGGTGCATGTTTGGCGTCCGAACCGATATTAAATTATTCCGGTTACGTAGTGATAAGAATCTGTCGAAAGTGCACCCGCCCGTGTATTCACGACCCTTCATGGGCAATGGTGTTGGCACGCAACACACGTTTTTGACGGACTGCGGTCATCTATGGTTCAACTTATAGAATCTGCGTTGGACATTTTTGAATAAAGCGTTGTCAATTGTTCCTTGTTGATTTATCTCCGGTTTAATTACTCATCCACTAATTAGGTAATTAGCAAGATCTGCGAGAGGTCAGAAAGTCCGAAATTGGTCATTTTTGGACACCTGTAGTTTGTAACTAACTTAAGATACAAGTTTGAGTTATGTTGTTACTGCTGCTTTAAGGTCCCTTGTTGCTGATTATGCAAAGGGATATCAAGTAACTGTTTGCGATCACTTGGAACAAAATTCTGAACGCCATGTTGCGCCCTGACGCCAATGCCCGTCAACGGGTTAATCATCTTTTTCCGTCTGGCCAATAGATATTTTCACTTACCTCCGTATAAACTTCCGACTGTAACTTCATTGATAATAAATTTTAGGAAGAATCCACGCAGTTACGTTTTTCACAAACATACCGGCGCACATATTAAAACACAGGACAAAACGATCAGATATGGCTGCGCACTGCGCAGACAGGTTGCAGAAATAAAACCTTAAGAAAGTGTTACAGAAAATTGCTTATTATGTACATAACCTTCCCTGTCAGCTACATCAGGCATGCCTATCCCGTAACGACGGAATTCCCTCGGCATGACGTAATCACTGTTAAATTCTGTTTGTCAGTGTAAGACTTTAAGCCAATAGTTTGGGATGCAACGAATTAGTGTACGGATACAGACTTTCATGTCGCCGGAAGCGTGGCTCAGTCAGCCAAAAGTTTCAAAGGCTACAAATTCTTTCGGAAAACGGTCACTTTTTATCCAGAAGTGATTAAAAGCTAGCAGTTTTTGGTTCGGCCTTATACGAATTGTTTTATCCGCTTCATGGTTCGTAAAATTCGGGATGTAACCGGAGAAGCTGCGTTTTTATTTAACTATTGTTAAAGGCCCGTTTATTACTGTTACTTACACGTCTTATGTAATTTTTCCACAATCAACGTTTTCCTTATAAGTACACCGCCGTACGCTGCTAAGACAAAGGTCTAGGCACTTAACTGAGACTTCGCTGCACCCGTCCACGCTGAGCAGCAGCACGAAATCTGTGCGGTGATTCTGCAGCATCAATGAAAATTCAACGACAAGGTGCCAATTATGCTCTTCGAGCGAACAGTCAGCTGACTCAACTGTGCAGGCCGGCAATGGGTGAAAGGTCACCAGAGACAGCGTGCACAACAACTGCCAACAACTTTGCGTGCAGTAACCGAAAAGACAATGATTAGCTAACAATTAGGTACAGGGTACACTAAGCGCAAAGAACTATCCATACCTTTGCAGTTTCTGTCCTTTCGTTTTCTGCATCGTACTTCGTAGGTTTTAAAGATTTTGGATTTGCAGCGTACCTCCATCAGTTCTGTCCTGTGTTGCTTCTCGAGCGTACGTATTACTGGTGTTTAACGAGTTGCGGTGACTTAGCTAGCCGAGTATGTCCGATGTTCTTCAACGGATAAGATATGTGAGAATGTGCGTTTACGGGCTTGGCTGCTCAGAAATAAGTCACTAATCAATCAATCAGGCCCAGGGCGGCTCCAGGCCGTATCCCGGGGTTCAGCGTCCCTAGTGCAAAATATCTCGGCATGCGGCCGTCCTCCGCCGAGATCGTCAACGAATCTAGGCTTCCGGAAACTTTTCGGTTCGCATCATTGGTAAGTACAGAAGTTGGCTGACACTTGACAGGATGCAGGATCATTAGTACTGGTTGACGGGTTGGGTATTCGCGTGTAGAATTAAGGTAAAGTGTCTTGGGGCCCGCAAACACAGGCGGAGCTGGAGCTGTTCCTTAGCGACACAATCGTCAGGCTGTGCAAATGTGCGCACTTTCCCGCGGATTGGTACCAGCCGGTCCGGATGAAGAGCACGATAAAATACAGCGAAAAGTGTAAATTAACGGGTCACGCCAAAAAGAAAGGTAGGGTAGTGGCCATCGTATGAAGCGCTAACAGCGCTCTTAATATGAATTAGCTGTACCTTTACGTGCTCGTTATCAGGACCGGGTTGTGCACTAACTGCGCAGGTAAGATCCATAAAAATGTATGGTTGATCTCACGAATCCTGAGATTCGTGTTTTCTGTGGTTTTTGGTTGGGTTGCCTTTTTGAATAGGTATTTCGTAAAGCATTTCTGTTTCGGTCAAAATTTAGAAAACAAATTGACCATATTTAGTTAAAAAAGATCCTCGGTTTTGAATTTAGGTATACGAAATTGTACACACTATGTCTCTAGTGTCTGCACAAGTGCAAACAGTCGTTTCTATTAGCCGTGCTGTATGCTCGAACCAGTTATGCTGCAGCCGGTCTTCTTCGAAAACCACTTGTCCGATGTAGTCAACGAAGAATAAACCGTCGTTGAGATGAGCGCGCGCTTCTTCCAGTTCTTCAGCCAAAATTCCGATGCTGTTGGTCATTGTTTTCTACAAGGCAAAATCCGCCTGCTAGTGCTACGTAAAAATAAATATATTGACCGAACATCAATCACTACGAAATACGTCTTAGATGTTTTTACCGTGGTTCTTATCTTCAGTGTGGTTTTGATGTGATTCTGATAATCAGCGAAGGTGCGCACGGCAACCTTATATTTCTGGCTAGTGTTCGGAGGTATATCGCATTTGGCATATAGTGGACAATGGGTATCATTGGCATATTTAAACTGGAGGAGCTTCGTCGATGTGATGCTGTTTCGGGTGATACCGGAATCCAAAGTCAGCGAACGGGGATTGGCATACTGCACATCGTAGCCGGCGCCCAGAAAGTAGGATGACGGTGGAGCGGACGCCGAACTGGCCGTTTCAGGCCTTTCCAGCTCCGGCTCGCTGTAAAATCGTCCAGCATAAGAAAGTTCAGAACATTATTATTGCGCAATTGTCAATCAAGGGATTCTACGCTTACTGTATACGAGTGCAAAATCGACGAGTAAAAAAACAATTTTTTCGTCTGGTTCGTATAGCGTTCGGTCCGCCAAAAAATGTCTGGTTTACCATTGAATTTGGTTTATTATCTGGTTAGCCTAGAAGTTTTATTAGTCCAACAATGGGACAAAAACCGCACTGATATCCGGAACTGATTAATTTTAATCAGGGTATGTTTAACATACCTGGTGTATTCTGCATCGGTTGTCTGCTGGTATACTCCTGGCAAATCAGCCAACAGAATCAAGTACAGAAATGTTACTGCGATGGCAGTTGTCCGCATTCTGGCAACAAATGCAGAAAACATTAAAAACTGATCTAAATTGAAACAAGTATCTGTACACTCGCAACACGCACTGATAGCACAAACACAGGACCAAGCATCACGAGCTTCGTATACTGTATGTAAACTGGTATTAAAAAGAAACGGCGTGTGCCGCAAATAACAGGCTCCAAGTCCACATGATCATTGTCGAATCAGTAAAGAGAATCTGAGAAAAATAAATGACTCAGCTAGTCTTCTGCCTGATACAGCTTGCAACTTTACAAGAAATAACAACTCGTATAGAAGTATGGTTAAAGATGACTGCGTTTCGCTCCGTGTATATTTCTATAATACTTTGTATAATTATTCATTCCGCTGTAAAAACCTCATGTACATGCTACGACAGTTCTGCCTGCGGGAATTCATCCTTGGCGCTCCGGCATAACCAAATCTAAATATTACAATTTAACCAAACCTAAAATCAATACGTACTAGAGTAGGGAAGCGCACCGCTGTTGGCTTGCGCTTAAGGCCGAAGCAAAGCGGGAAACCGAGTTTAATAAACTGTTTGCTGAGTATTCGTATAAAACTGTTTTAAAAATGCATTCTTTACATCTAAAAAATATTTTTTCTCCATTTACACATTTTCACATGAGTAAATCAACCAAAATTTCACAAGTAAATTACGCAACAACATCGGCAATCGTAGAGTAGAGGATCGAATGACTTTGTACAAATTTAACAGAACACACACAAGCTTTTGAGTAACCGCCGTGTTGCAAGGCTGTAATACTTTCAGTATTACATTCTTGTATTTCTCGATTATCTAAATAAATAAAAGGTAACAGGGATTAAAAATACGTAGCTACAGTAATAATCTGTAGTAATGGGTGAGTTTGCCGGAGCCCGCTTTAACCACCACGAAACCTTTGAAAGAATGGATCGGCCGGCTTTGGTGTGCAAAAGTCGCACATCCGCGCTTGAACCGCTTTGAACCTCGTTGCCGTTCCATTGATGTTACTGACTTCTCCCCGCGTCTGCATACTATTCACGCCCGGTCTGCTGTCATCAGACTTCCCTACGATTGTGTAACGATTTACGTTAATGTCGCGGAATCGCGTTTTTTCCTCTTCTCGGTTTCGCTGACATTTTCGACAAAAGCCTGTCACGTTTCCCCCAACCCAGGACACCACAGCTAGGAAGACGTCGCGCCGGTCTTCATGTTTTCCGGTCGTACAACATGCGGTGCCATATATTTAATACAATGGAAGGGGTGAACAACGAATTTTTATAGTCAATATTGTTGTGTGGTCCAGAATTCTGCCTAATGCCAAGTAAAAACAACGAATATGCACCAGTGGAAGCTGACAAACAAATGCCTATTATTTAATTAATGGAGCGGAAATACTTGTGTATGTACTACGTACTGCAAGCACCATTGGTGCACAAAACTGTTCACGAACATGCTGTAGAAACAGCACCGTTGTTACGGATCTTTGCTGGTGCCCTCAAGGTAACTCACGAAATTATAAAAATTTATCAAGTTGACTAATGTAAACACATGCAGAAAATACCGTGCGCGATGCGACCGGTGTCCGAACCGCCAGTAAGTATTTTCAGAATCCGGATTGCGAAAACTGAAAGCGTCTCACGGAAGCCAGCCGTCGTCCTCGTCCAATTTCTCATTGCGAAGGACGACCGGACGATTACTACCGGGAATGGAATGGATTTTAGCTTATTCTATTGGTCCATTCCCGGTTCCATACTTGCTGATGGATCAGTGCCTTTAAGTGGTTGTGCAAAAGATTTGTTCTCAGGAGCAGTGGCGACACAACGATAAAAAATCACATACCACACAGCGGCAAACGAAAGCATGCGGCGGTTCACTTATACCCCATGTTATCGGCTGTTTCTAGGTTTTTCGATGTACACACACCCCCAAATCCTTCTCCATCTTATAGAATAAAGGTATAAGTAGTTCTAAAAAAAGGGGCGTCCTTAACGGGTACTCTCTGTTATAGAAATAATGTGGGATTTCAAATTCTTCTGTGCATTCGATGCGAAAGTGAGCGTAAATGTGTATCACGGGCTGTTTATATTTTCACAGTTTAGTGTTAAACTGACGCATTCAAGGAAGCTGAAGGAACGAATTTGCTGCCCATCGCCGGTACTTCCCCTGTAGCGTTACCGGACCAACCGATTCACAACTTCCGCTGGATATACCGATGTGCAACTGCGACATCTGACGTCCAGTTTTGGTTGCGTGGACTGATCACGTCAACACGGCATGCACAGGAATGCATTGTATCCTGTAATCCACATTGCCGGAAACCATGCCGTCCCGACTGCCTTGTTCACCTGTCACCCTTTAAGCAATACTAGTCTGAAGGTAAAAATGTTAAAATGCATCTCCGGAATGCGTAATTGCAGTTTCTCTTCAAGACGATTTCGCTGAAAGCGTGTGCCGGCTTCCCGAGCAGTACGATGGTGACGAATACGTGGCCTTTCTCAAACGCTTCGGCACGCACATGATCGAGACATTGCTACTGGTCAAGCAATCGCGGACCCGAGTGTTCGTGGATCCGAAAGCGATATTCCAGCATCTGGTACGCAGCGGCACAACCTTCACTGGTGACAGCGTCCACTGGGCGGATGGAATTCAGCTGCGGTATATTACCGACAGCATGCTCGTACGAATTGCCGACGATTTAATGAAGGGCCCGCGTTCGGACAGCGTTGTCAACGAGACTGCCGCGCACAACATTACGTTGCCGGTTCATCTGCTGGAAATTTCGCAGCTCCTTGACAAGGTCCATCTAAACCGGTCCCTTAACGAGATCTGCAGGTAACGTTATCAGCATTTGTACAACAATTATACGGTAAATAGAGCCATATAGAGGACAGGACGAAAAAGGTAAGTAATTGTTTTGTTTGAACAAATACTGCGAGTAAAGCAGTACCGGCGATTTCTGCGCATTCGATATGTGGATGTCGACATTATTTAGTTATTTCATTGTCGCGTTTTCGGACTGCAAACCGAACTGGCCGCTTTCACCTGTGGGTCCTGCGCTGTATTTACAGACAACTGTTCGATGGAATGTCCGAAGCCAACCAACCGGTCTGGTTGAAAACCGTTGCCGACAACCTGTACCGAGCAATGGATGCCTACAGCAACGAAGCCCAAACCGAACAGCCGATCGCCACACCGCAGATAACTCCCTGGCCGAAGGAGATCCGCAGTCAGATCAGGGCCATCCAAACGCGGAATTTCTTGGCGGGTCAACGGCACCCCTGTGTCAGCGATGCGTACACTAATGTCTTGGGTCACGGATACGATCTGTTACGCGCCGATCCACTAGGGACGGAATTTCACGCCGGTATTCACAGCGGCGAACCGATTCTCCGGTTTAAGGATTGCCCTGTCACCGGGAACTGCAACGACACAGTGCTCTGTACAACGCTGCCGCCTACCGGGCATACACAGGAAAAACATATCTTTCGTGCGGTGGAGGAGTATCAGGACGTAATTCTAAGCACGCTGGACATTGATGGTCTTGACGTAAGTCTTTGGCTAATGAAGCCTTGCATGTCGCAGTATTTGCTATCGATAAATTAGGACGTGATTCAATTTCTGTCGGACCGTCCGACTAACATAACAGCAGAGCGAGCTGACCCTTCGATCATGTGCAAAAAGGCTGTTTTTCGGCCTTCACTTATAAGACTGATTTTTACGCTCTAACTGTGACATACACAGACTTGTTACTCTTTGTGTGAAAGCGACCATATTATGACATTGTGAAGAATACAAAATCTTGTCTTAAAATTGTACGGGCCCATTAAGGGAAGTGGCCCGGTACATGGTACCAAATTCGTGTACATGCACCGATCCACTGTTCTAGCATGTTTTTCAAATTTTAAAATGAATTTCAAAAATTTTAAAATTTTTGGACAGAACAGTGGATGGTATAAAAACGATCCTCATGGTTATGTGCATTTACGTGCAAAATTTGAGGGAGATTGGTCTACAATGAGACTTTTGGTACACCTGAACGCATTTAAACTTTTTGGAATTTTCTAACAGCCATAACTCCCGAACCGGATGTTGCGCGCACTAACGGTTTTCACGCCAGTGTATACAGATCTTCTGGCTACAAAACGTCATAAACTGAAACAAAAATGTGTTTGGGAGTGCGCGAAAGCGAAAGTTTTCGTGCATGTACACGGATTTGGTACCATGTACCGGCCCACTTCCCTTAAATCAGTAAGGTTCACTCGATGATAAACTACGCGGTCTACTTTGCAGCCGGTAATCCATGCTAGCGTGGGAATGCGCAGCCCGATAATGCGCAGCATCCGGCACGGCGCTACAATTAACGATACGTTCAGGCAATCGTATCAGCACGAGATGAGATACGTCTACAACAAAGAAGACCTGTTCCTCGACTCACACTTACTATCCACGGCTTGTTCCTTACCGGACCTCTACGACCCAGCGGAATACATAAGCTTCCTCAAGCATTTCGGGACCCATATTATCACACGTGTAAGATACGGGAGTTTCGCTTTAAACCGGACCGTCCACTACGCCGATATGGAAGCGGATACGTCGGTGCTCGAAACGTCCATTCGACCGTTACAACTTACCGTTAAAAACATTAAGGCGTTCTTCACACCGTTGACCATTAGCCAGTCAGCAGTGCCACCAGATTGTGACAAACTTCTCAATGCAAGTTCCCTGCAGAGTTTCCGAAAGCTTCTTGATCGAGCAATTGTAGAGTACGCTACAACGATGGGACTTCCGACAACAACAACCATTTCGACGACCACGACCACCACGACAGCGGCGGCAACGTCACCTACAACGACCACGATCAACCCGGTCGTCTTCCTTCCGCACGGAACCATCCAGGGCGTGGTTCGCGATGCAGACAGCTTGGATTACCTTCCAGGCGTCAGCGTAACCGCTCGACTACCCCGACAAAACTTTCAATCAACGAGACACACGAACGCCAAAGGAGATTTCTCGATGTCGCTACCGAGCATGCCGAGCTACGACCTCCACTTCGAACTCCCGGGCTACTATCCGGCCTTGTTGCACGGGATGCCGGTAACCGTCCAACAAACGCTGGTGGTCGAGCCAATGCTGTACATTAACCAGCGCTTCACCGGCATCGGTACCGCTAGCGGGAACGTCACTAACGCGGTGACCAGTCAAACGGAACCCGGGGTCCTCATCCACTTTCGTTCCGGGATCAACGTCTTGACCGGGGACGTTGCTGCTACGGCCACCACCCTGGTATCCGGTCGCTGGACGGTCACCCTCCCGACGGGTCACTACACTGCAACCCTCTCCAAACCCGAGTTCGCGCCGACCGCATTTACCGTGGTGATCCTTGGCGGGATGGAGAAACCGGGTCAAAACCACGTGATAGTCCCCGTCGTCTCCCGACAGCAGTGGCGGTTTGTTTTACACTGGGGCGAATGGCCGCTGGATTTAGATTTACATGTTTGGGGTCCGATAGAAGGCAACCGCAATCAGATGCACGTGTACTGGTACTCCAAGCTCAGCCCGGGCAATCACACGGACCTGGATGTGGACGTCACCAAGAGCTACGGACCGGAGACCGTGACCGTGCGAAAACAGCTTCAGGGAGTGTATACGGTTAAGGTGCACGATTACACCAACCGGGAGGCGATGAATTCCCCGGCACTGGGTGTGTCGGGAGCGGAGCTGGTGTACCGAGGCAGTATGCAACTAGGCCACTATTATGTGCCGCGAGGCCACGGAACAACGTGGAGTGTGCTGCAGCTCAACGGGACGCAGATCCAGGTCATTAACCGTATGAGTCATAACGGGTTGACAAAAAACGTTGACAGCAGTTGATCCTGGCGGAAGCGTTTAGCGCCGATTAGCGGAAACTACTACTGAATTTTCAACTGTTTAGCAGCAACACTGGACTATGACTATGTGCTCTGGCGTTTTCTATTTCGAACGTACAAAAGTGAAGAATTTCCAGAGATTTCTTAGACAAACGCGAACAATCAAACCAGATTGTTTTTTATTTGCCACTTCAACCAAACCTGGTTTCTTGATCGCGTAGATGTAAATTTCAAATTTTAAAATAATTTATGAAAATGTCAAAATTCATTTTAAAATTCGGAAAACATTGTGCAAATGTGGGTTGGTATAAAAACAACCATCATATTTATGGAAATTTGTGGGCAAAATTTGTAGAAGATAGGTTCGGACCACCGTTCGGCTCATCCTGATCCAGTGATTAGTACTCGCACAGCAGCATACGACAGTGTGTTCGTACGAAAAGAGTTTATTATATATACAGTGTGGGGAGAGAAGCGGCTCATATACAGCGACAAAGTCTTCCAAGGATTTTCAACACTTTGCGCTGTGGTGCTGCCTACGCGGATCTAACGACATAGCCCATTCGATTCCCCCAACGGTGAATTTTTCGGCCGTTTCTCGGTCTCCAGTGGATGGCGCCCTGCTTAGTACACTATAAAAGAAGATGTGTACTGTAACAGTGAAACCTTAGCATAGCATTGCATTCAACAGCAGCCTCTCCAGTTACTCGTACATCTCCATTTTACGACCAATGAAACGGGTAAAACAATTCATGTAAAGCCGAGCCAGAAACTCTCAACATTCAATCACTTCTGGATAAAAATCCCCGTTCTCGGCAAAAAAGACTGGTAGCGTTTGAACTTTGGCAGGCTGAGTCAGTCTTCCGGTGACATGAAAGTCTGCGAACGTATACCAACTTGTTGTAAGAGTTGTATCACAGACTACTGACTGGCATTGGCAAAACGACCCGCCAGCTGCAAATAGGTAAGGCTAGGCAATTAGCAATTTTCTATATCATGTTTCTAAGGGTTTTACCAGTTTTTGTGCGTATCTGCTTGTTATGTCAGGTGTTTTGATATTGCGCCGGCACATTCGCAAAAACATAACTGCCAGAGTTTTTCTTGGAATTTAAGAGAAGTGACCGGCTACATGGCACCAAATTCGCGTACATGCACGAAAACTTTCACTATCTTGCGGTCCCAAACACATTTTTATTTGGTTCCTGTCATTCTAATGGCAGATGATTTGTATTCATTGGCGTGGAAACCGTTTGTGCGCGCAACATCCGGTTCGGAGTTAGGGCTGTGAGAAAATTCCAAAAAGTTTAAATGCATTCAGATGTTCCAAAAGTCTCAGTTACGGACCGATCACCTTCCAATTTCGCACTTAAATACAGTACACTAAGCATAAAAATCGTTTTTACAACAAACCAGAGTTCCGTCGTTTTGTTCAAAATTTAAAATGAGTTTCAAAAATTTTATAATTCATTTTAAAATGTTAAAAAAATGCCAGAACAGTAGTCCCGTGTAAAAAAACGATCTGTATGCTTATGTGCGTTTCAGATGCAAAATTTGAAGAAGATCGGTTCATAATAAAACTTTTGGTAAACCTGAATGCATTGAAAACTTTTTGGAATTTCGAAGAGTCAGAGCTCCCCAACCGGATATTGCCTGCAGCGAATACCTACAGCGTGGGCACGATGGTAAAGATGATGCTGGGCAATCCGATGTGGAGTAACAACCCCATGAAGAAGAACGTCTGTATCGGCGCCCAGCAGACCACCACACTGATCGTCGTCAGCGTTAATCCGACGAGCGGTTTCACGGTTTTCTTTGGCGGCGATGGCTGTGCAGCGGTGGGTTGTGAATTCTGCTTGGAACTTTTTTTCTTGGCTGGAAACTTCCTTAGACTAATCGCAACGCTGCGGCGACGTGAATTTCTCTTCAGCCACAGTTTAACAATAATGAACACATAGGCGACCATGACAATCAGCATCGGGAGGAGGCGATTGATAATGTCATCGGCTTTATTAAAATCCAGGAAGTCGGGCGAATAATGCCCGCAGTCCTGGTACTTAGCGTATACGGCCGGATAATGCAGCAGTTGATCGACTAAAATGGCGGCAAAATCAACAGATGGACGTAGATAACGACGCCCAGGCAGATGAACACGGCCAAGCGTTTGGTGTGGCGCCTGCGGTAGGAGATGGGAAAGGTCACGGCCAAAACGGGAAACGGTGGGTAAAATACTGCCGAATATTTATATGATCATCGAAGGGTTTAGATTAGAGTAACTAAGTAATGAAGACAGCGCTTTCAATGTTACCATCAAACAACAACGCTTTGAGCGTTTCGTCAATGTACGCTTTATTTTCGTTTGACACACTCCATTGCTTAATAACTTTCTTATTTCTCAGAACTAGATCATTCGATTAAACAAAAAAGACATCCTGGGGATGAGAATAGCACAGTGTACAGTATTGTACCTGCAACAAGAATTCCGCGGAAGTGCATGCAAGGTTTTTTGAAAATTCACGAAAAATACTAGCAGAATAGAAATGCGATATACATGAAATTCAGGCGAAGAAGGTGGGAAACTGATTCAATATTTCTACGGCAGAGACTTCAACAAGGATCCAGCGTCTTTTTATTGTGTGGTGCAGTATACTCTAGCACACTGATTTAACAGTACACACGACAAATTGAAATTTATAATTTTGTAAGTTTTAATTATCACACAATTACAGTCATGTTAACAAGGACATACCTAAGTAACCTAACTACAAATATTCGATTAACGATATTTTTCATCGCGCCGTCGGGGCAGGTAAGCCTGACTGCGGCATAAGCACTGTCGCCGTGCGTCGCGGGGATATACGGGCATCGCGGACACCTCAGCGTCACGATCGTGTCCGCGACTGTCGCGCGATAAAAGTTGGGCACCGATTGAGCCAGTTCTATCATCCACCTTTTTCAAAGGGGTCGATCTTGACAGAACGCGGTAGAGGTGCACTTATGGCACAAATGGATGTCTGAAAGCCGCATTCCGATTGATCCCTGTGTGCCCACTGGAATGGAACCTGCTAGGTTACCAGCGGAACGGTTAGTTTTTTTGGCGTAATGCTACCTTTCAAGTGCAGAGCATCGCCGTGCGTGTTTGAGCAGTTTGCCAGCCCAGTTCACTGGATCGTGTCCAATGTTGCCGGCCTGGACAGCATGCTCAGTATGTCGATGACTACCTTTTTCTGGGCAGACACGGAAGCAAAGAGTGGAGTACTTAATGGTCACCATGATTCATACGTGCGGTGAGCTCAGGGTCCCCTTGGCGCACGACAAGACTGAGGGGCCTGCGACTCAGCTGACGTTTCTGGGCATACACCTGGACTCAATTCGTCAAACCCTCAGTTTACCAGGCGACAAGCGACGAAGCATTGAGGAAGCACGCTATGACTGGAGCAACCGTGACCTGTGCACGAAACAACCGCTTCAATGCCTAATCGGAATTCTTGTCTTCGCTTCCAAGTGTACCTCAGCAAGCCGGCTGTTTACGCGGCGGAAGATTGCTCCCTAGCCGACAACCGCCGCCGAAGACCTATTGTAATTACCGCTGAAACGAAAAAGATCTCGACGGGTGGAGAGTTCCTCCCAGCCAGGAACGGCACAACTATTTTTATCCGCCCGGGTGGACCTGAGCTGACGTACTAAGCACTTAACCTGTATACAGACGCGTCTGGAACTCACGGACTCGGGAATTTTATCAAGGGTCATGGTTCCATCTGCGCTGGCCACAGTGGATCCTCCAGCGAAAGCCGTGCATCGAGTATTTGGAACTGATTCCCACAGTTCTTAGCCTATTTGTATGTGGCTCGAGTCTGCGCGGAAACGAGTCATCTTTCACTGTGAAAACGAAGGGGCCACGCTTGCCTTGAAACCTGCGAACGACCAACGCCAGCGTGTTGGACCTTATGCGCAGCATACTAACGGTGGCCGCCTCCGCTAACATGACCTTTACGCTCAAGTATATACGCGCCGTTAACAGCGAGATTGCTGATTCTCTGTCTCGTTTTCATGGTCACAGATGCTCGCAGCCTCGCACCAACAGCGCTGGAACATCCGGATCCATGCCCAGAGATTTTCCCGCAACTGCTCCAAACATACAGCTGACAGCCAGCCTTGACCGGCTCCTAAGCGCTCACATCGCCAACTCCACGAGAAAGACGCACGACGCGCCGAATTCAACCAGTTCGCAGCGTCCTGCAAGTCCAGATTGCCAACTTCCTTGCCGGCATCGCCGGATACCGTCACCGAATACGTCGCTCGGTTATTCTCCACCAAGAAATCGTTCCGCACTGTCGCTGTCTACCTCGCCGGCATACACAAGCGCCACCGCGAAGCGGACCTAAAATCACCCACAGATCACGACCTTGTGGTGCGGGCACAGCAGGGCTACCGACGCCTTGCTGCCCCGCGCCCGTACACAAGCCAACCTGTGACCCTGCAGATACTGCGGTGCCTGGAACGCAGCCTTCGCCATATTGGAATATCTTCTTACGAACTGGCGATGCAGTGGGCAGTCTTTACCATGCTCAGGCATGCTGTATTTTGGTTTTCAACGTACTGGCGAAGTGCCCAGCCCACGAAATGACCGATGCGATGCTCAGCACACCCTGATTGCGGCAACCAAGTTATCGTGCGCCTTAAGGTCACCAAAACCGACCGAACCGGGCTAGGCTGCTCCGTAGCGCTGGCGGCCACCTGCCGCTCGATCTGTCCCGTGCAGGCGTACCGGCAGCACCTTGCCCAGTCGCAGATCATCAAACCGCCTTAAAAGCCCTTTCTTTGTTCACCAAGACGGCCGATTCCTTATCCGCACACATCCGCACACAAGACCCTGTAGCTGTCAACCACAACCACGGTGGATAGTCGGTATTGTTTGGGGCAGTCGGGCAAAGAAGGAATGTCGGAAACTCATGGTCGAGGTCCGCTTGCCCAGACCTCGATTTTGCACATGCCCCGATGCGCCAACCTTTTCGCTCTCAGATACATGGCGTCCGTTTTCGCATTACCAACAAAGATGTAGTGTCAGCGGCGTACCGAATTTAACTTAGTAATTCATCCTTGTATGATACTATTATTAATATATATAATATTATTATTATTATTAACATAAAATACGTAAAATAAATGATACTTGTACAGAGAGTATGCTCGCATGGCTGCTTAGCAACGTCTACCCAAATTTCCCGTTCACCTACATATCCGTCCTGACCGGGGGCTTTCCCCGTAACATTATTGTCATCGTTTCCGACGTGTCGTTTCTCCTGCCGCGACATTATTTTCTCTAACCATGCCATGTTCGATTTCTTCTCACGTCTATTATAAAAGCGCGCACACGATTTTCATAAGAATTCCCCAAGTGAAGTTATTATTTTCATAGCGTCCTTTAAGCAGTCTCTAACCGAACCATGCTCGCGGTGCCAGTTACCGTGTTGCTGATCATCGTTGCTGGTCTGGTTAACAGTACGTACGTATCACAGTTCTTTCGCTTGATTGTATTAATTATGGTTGTTTGTATGTCTTGAATTCTCTTCGATAAGGGCGCTGACTAGTTACCCATGCCGTTGTTGTGGTGTTGAAAGCCGTTTGACTTCGATTTTTGCGTGTGTGTGTGTGTTTTTTAAAAAGGGTCAAGTTGTCAGTGAATTTTTTGCTGACCACTGTTTCTATAGTCTATGACTCAAAGCTATCTTATATTTATATTTAAGCTATCTTATATCTTATATAGCTATCTTATATTTTTTTTTATATATATAGCTATCTTATATTTTTTATTTTTATATTATTTTGTATCGGAAATTGTACCATTCTTTATTATTAAATATTTTGGCAATATAAAAAAATATTAAACCAATTTCTTAACAAAATTACAAAACGCAGATAAATTCTTGTGGTAAATATTGTAATTATACTGTTGTGTTAGGCATTTATTACCGTGCTTTTTCAGCCTTTCATTGAAACACTGTCAACATCACTTGAAACTCGGTACTGCATAAGTAATGGGTTGCATTTGTCAATAAATACAACGCCATAAAAATTTGGTAACTCTGTTTTGTTATATGTACCGTAAATACCGTAAATTCCGAGTTAAACGCCCTGGCTTTTTTTTCGAGAGCTTTGGGAGGGGGACATCGTAATTTTGAAGAGGACATCGAAAACCTTTACATAGATGTTAATTTGTCGTCAATTTGTCCCTATTGCCCATGTTTGGTACTCGGCACGTGTTAAGTGATGCCGCTGTTGTTTTGAAGGAGATGGTTAGAAATTCGTATTAGAAGCGAAAGCCATGCCAATAATCAAAGATTCTTGTAAAATATCTGCAGGCAATTAGAAATTCGCGTATAGTATAAACATGGAAAATGAATTTTGTCCAACAGGTCAGGACGGCACCAGTCCGACCTCGGCTAATCATAACCCGACAACGAGCGGTCTAGGCGGTGACGCCAGCGACAGCCCCATCTCCGACAGCTCCCACTACCCGGATGTTGCCGATAACGCTACCGGCCAGCCGAATTTCGCCCAGCCAGATAAGAACCTTGTTTCAATGGGCGCTGACGTCTTCCTACCAGCCCGAAACAAGTTTCCGCCCGACAATACACCTCAAGGCCAAGGGAACGGTTCGTTCAGTGCAGAGGGAGGCCAGTCGAACTACACCCGCGTGCCGCTGTATCAGGCCCAGATCCCAGCGTCAGTCCCGCTGAAACAATCCCGCCTCACCTACCGGCAGCAGTGGCAGGCCGGTCGCGGGTAACCACACCCTAATGGAAAGATACCAATTCCGTTACAAAAAGATAAAGGTCACACATGCCGCTGGCGATGCAGCCTTGTGACATCATGGGACCGCTCCGACGGCGTTGTAGTATAATATGGCAGTAAAGAAAAACCCTGCAAAGTGGCGCCGAGAGTCACTTACTCGGGTGAATTCCATTTTATAATTGTTGGTGATGCTTCATATTACGCAGAAATAACAGCTGTAAAAAAAGCCAACAGTTCTGGAAATACCTTTGATGTGAAAACTTTAAAAAAAAGAAAGATAGTGCTGAACGGTAGTGTACGGAGTCAAAGGCAGTGCCCAAAAAGATAGTGACCGAATGAAAGGTAGTGCAGAAAGTAGCGTGCGGAGTGGTCACCTTTCCCAAAACCCCACGCAGTTTATAGGTTTGTCATAAAAACTGATATGTTGCTTAGTAAGAATATAAAATTTTTCGAATTTTTTTCTACAGCTATATCAGATGGGAAGTTTCGAAAAAGGTGCTAAATGCGAGTGTTTGGTTTGAATTGCGAAACGCAGCTGCTAACTGAAATGTTCACGCGCTGATGCTTATGCGGACTGCCGTTGCTGGGTGGTTAGCTGTGTTGCACACACATAAACAGTGTGATCGGTTTGTGGTGCGTAGTTATTTAGCTATGCGCTCGGAAATTCGTTCGCAAAATTGTGCTTTTTTAAACTACAGAATAATCGCTTTTCGCTTGCGTCAGTTCAAAAATCTTATTGACGAAGGTCTGCGGAACAAAACGAAGTTCCCTCCTGCCATATTTATTGCTAAAGTTCACAAGTAGGACTGTACCACTAAATACGAGTAGTTGTACATTCTTAGCATTACGTTAACACTTTTCAAATTTTCATTACAGTTGGCTCCGAATTGAGTTGAACACACTTTACAGCAATGAATAGGATATTCCATTTGCCGTACTGTATCGAAAGTCGAAACCTGTAGTTCCTTTGCGTATGTGGCAGACTACCTCGTACTCTGTAGCATTAAGCACTATGACGTGATATTGTTCATCCGTTTGAAGATTCATGGAGGAGAAATCTCGTTTCTGTCCACTCACAAATACGAGTACCTTTTTGTATTCTTATTTGACATACTGTAGCGGTAGTCTGACGTGACCCAAAAGTCTCATTATAGTCACTGTTTTACTTTAAATTTTGCACGTAAATGAATGCGCATTAATATAAACACTGGTTTTACACCAAATCGAAATTCCCCCATTTTTTCAAATTTTGACATGAAATTTAAAATTTTTGAAATTCATTTTAAAATTTGAAAAAAAGGTTTCTGGTTCGGTTTAAAAATAATCTTCATACTTCAGTAATCTGTTGCATTAGCTCTTGTATAACAGCGAAACTTTACAGTTACGACGAGTTTCCGGGCGCATAGCGAAATAACTACACGCCCGAAAATTTTCCGGGCGCGCAGCACTTTCATTTCTTTAATTCATTATTTCTTCATCCGACTGCCTGAGAGGATGGATGCCCATAGGATGCCCCCCATATTTTGTGCCGCGAGATCACGGCCTGACGTGGAGCGTGCCGCGACAAACAATATATACATATTATATATATATATATGTATATATATATATATATATATATATATATATATATATATATATATATATATATATATATAATATATATTTGTGAAATATACTGACGAGGTGGTGCTGCTTGTAAGAAGTATATAAAGTCAATTAATTACCACTGCTCACAGTGACGGTGCGCTTAAAATTAATAATATTAAAATTAATAATACATATTAATTAAAACTGCAGTGTAGATTGTACACGCCACTGCAGAGAGTGCCGCTGTAGCATTATTTTGTTTCATACATCCACGGCGACTCAAATAAAATATTTTTAGTAAGCTGTTCCGGTCGGTACCTTTGAAAAAGTTTTAGAAGTATAAGAAACATTGATAGGTAAAACGCTAGAATTTAGCCCGACTCAACTTAGAAATATATTGATTCCACATGAGAAACACTCTGAAACGGTAAGAACGTACAGCGTGTATCACTTGACCGTTGCTGTAGCCTTTTTACCATAATTATGTAGCCGTTCGCATCATGTTTTAATAATAATTATATAATTCTAACTTTCAGCAATGATAAAGGAGGACGATCTAACAGGCAACTGGCGAAGAACGATCAACTGATTTTTTGCATTAACGGTATGCATCGAAATCCAGCGAGCACATGCGGCTTTTGTAATGGGAACAGCACGTCCGGCGGCGAATTAAGACGAAAGTTTTTCTGTTTTTCGACCGCCTTTGTTTGTAGATACCGCTGTACAACTCGCTGTCTTTCCTCTTCCGGATGTTTCAGAAACTTCGTAAAATTTGTTATCGGAATTTAGATGATAATTCAAACTGACGGCAACTTCAGGTAATGATCCTGATCGCAAAACCATGCATAATGGTTTTCGAAATAATTCACTGTTTAAGGCACGTATTGCCATCCTCTTGTTGGCGTTGTAATAACTAACAATAATAGTGGTATCACGTCTATCGGCTTCCGCTCGTTTTGAAATGTGTATTTGGGTATCATCAGCCAGGTAAGTCGTAAGTCTGAGATCTGTCAGTGCTTTATTTACACGGTCTATTAAGTTTTAAGGCAGAGGTTAATACGTAGTTACCGGAAAGCGCTTTTGAACTACAGTGGTCATATCGCTAACAAGCAATCTGTTGCAAAAGTGCGATTACGATGAAGCATATCTAAGAGCTACTTTATTCTGTCACTGTTATCCCCGTGGCTGACTTTGTGGTTGTCAGATAAGCATTGACTGCTTCAATCGGGTCAATAAAAGCACAAAACTAACAGAATCTGAAACGCGTTTCAGGCCGCCACTGGCTTAGTCTCCTGCAATACTGTCAGACCGAAAGGTAAGCTACGTTGCCAGAGCTCACTAAAATTTCCTTAGAGGTGAAAAGCTTACGCTGGTCTTCAAACATGGGGAACATCATCCGTCGTCGTACGGGTACCGATGAGTACCACCTGTCCGGTCGGTCTGCTAACGATCGGTTAGTTGTACTGTTGCTCGGCGAAACTGGATCTGGAAAGTCGACCTTAATTAACTACATAACGAGCTATTGCAAAGGGGGCTCCGCGACGTCCCCGCGCATTGCCATACCCAATGAATTCTACGAGGCTACCGAAGCCTGCGCGAACAGCGAATACGGCATCGGCGATCGTATACAAAGCAGAACAACGAAGTGGTAGGTGTGTGTAAGTGCGAAGAAATTCTAATTTTGCCGACAATATTTATTTCGGGAACTACAGTATACGGCTCTGCGAGTACGAAAAAAGGCGTGCAACCTGAATAATAAAGGTGACGCGGGCTTTTCAGCAATAGTTATGATTTCGAGGTGGATGGATGCCACTTCCGCTTCATCGACAGCCCTGGGCTGAGTAACACAAATGGCATGGAAGAAGACGCTGCTCATTTGAGGGAGATTATGCAGACCGCGGAGAATGCCGGCGTCGTATCGGTCATTGTCGTCGTTCTTAACGGGACAATAACCAGGAACACGGACAATGTGCGTAAAGCTCTGATCCGGCTTGGTGGATCATGGCCAGACGTTAATGCAGCCGAAAATGTGATTGTGGTTTTTACCCACTGCACGAGTTCGTCCTTCAATTATAACCTGGACACCCTGCATCCCTGGATACCGAAAGCAGAGAACTTCTTTTTCGTGAATAATACCGTGCTAAGTCAAGATCCACAGAGATGGTGCCAAGCGCCGTACACACAGCAAGGTACTTAAGGGAATTGTGCCGGTAAATGGTGCTAAATTCCTGTACAAGCTCAACAACTATCGCGCACCCCAAAATAACCTTTGTATAGTTCTATGAAATTCTGTAGACGAAGATTTTTGTGTACGTGAAAAACGTTAGTACGCGCACATACGGTGAGGTTATTAACTGATGAGTAAAAAAAATTCCAAAAAAATTTAAAGGCAAAAAAAAGCCAAAAGTACCAAAAGTACCAAAAAATGTGTACCAAAAAAATGTGTACCAAAAGTCTTATAGAAACGTTACTATTTCATGTTTTAAAATCTGTAGTTTGTATTGCTTTTTGATACATTACGTCACTTTTTCCAGGTATGGATGAAGAATGGGAACAATCCATGCGCGCAATAGGCAAACTGCTTGACAGAGTTGGTCTGCTCCAGACAAAACGAGTGTCGATGAGCGACGACGAGGAAGAGGAACAAGGAAAAGAGGAGGGAGAAAATGAAGAAGAGAACGAAGACGACGACCAAAACGGAAGCCGGAGAAGAAGAAGCCGATTACGAAGACGAACACGAGAACAATTACCAAAGTGAAAACCAAACTGAATACCAAGACGAAGGCCAAGAGGCCCAGGACCACGAAGAAGACTACGACGAAGAGCAAGTCGAAGCTTTTTGCGAACTTGTACATTCATGTTTCTCGCAGTTGTGTAATTCGATTTGCCTCTTGAATCCAAACCAATCTAATGATGAGTAGAGCCATTGATCGCAAGGCAGCACATAAAGAGCTTTAACAAAATTTCAATAATTAAATAATCTGCATCCTGTTGCACAATCTCTTTGGGTAACCGTCACAAAAATTATAATGATAACTAAAAGGTCATAGTAAAGCCTATTAAAATAAGTAATAAAAATTTCTATTAAAAATATTATAAGTAATAGTCTTCCCTCTTCGGTATTAAAGGTGTGTCCCTGTTTGATAATGCACTTACATACGATCCAGTGTAAATTACCCCAGAATAACTAGGAAAACGTTCTACCATGTTATGTTGAAGCGCAGTGCGCCGGTACGTTCTCGGACTAATGAGCAGCCTGGATTTGTTTTCGAATTTATTATAAATTAAATTACAGCCGAAAAGTCTATGCGGAACTGCAGTTAGGTACAAATCCAAACAAACAAAGCAAGATGCCAAAGTAAAAGTAAATTTATACGGAAACACCAATGCGCAAAGGATTCCTAAACTTCAGCAGCAAGTGCGAGTACTGGTTAGGACAAACTGGCCATTAAAGTTTTAGTGAGCTTATCTAGTGGCCTGACGGTCCGACGGAAAAAGAATGAAGTGGTAAAATGGTAACATACCCCACGATTACTATGACGTAACCGCTGACCCCATTCGACTCAGTTTTTCTTTCAGAGTCGAACGGTCATGACCTTTTGGGGAAAAAGGTTATCCAAAGGTCATGGAGCAAAATACAATTATATAGTGTTTTACCATCACTCGCGTGCAATGTGTTTGTTTCTGCGCGGGTATAGTAACCCGATTAACCTAAGAAGAATAGTAAGCTGGTTAACCCAAGAGAGAAACCCTAAGAACCTAAGAAAACACCGCTGAAATAAAACAGTAATTTGGGTTACCTAAGAAAGAAATCCTAAGAACCTAAGAAACTAGCCGTTAATGTAGAACGCTAACTTGATCAGCATGATCACGTGACTTTTTTCTGAACAAAACATCTATAGGAAATTTATTTCGGCTAAGGAAACATAAGAAAAATTTAGTAAAAAAATATAGAAATCATAGTCGGCCGTGAGCTTTAGATGACCTTTTCCTCCCTTAAGGTCATGGTCATCACTTTTCTACTTAGAAAAAAATACAGAGTCGAATGGCATCATCGGTTACGTCACAGCAATCGTGAGGTATATTACCATTATACCCATTTGATGATTTGCATTTTTATTTGGTCACAGTCGATAAGCTGTACATACAAACCTAAAGCACTATACAACTCTTGCAGAACAATCTTGTTCAGATCGTTCCCACGCACAATCACGTCATCGAGCGCCCGACGAGCGAGGTTCTCAGACTCAGTATCCAGGGTCCACTTTCCCATATCTGAGCGCCCTTGTCGGTAGAAATCCGTCTTTCCAATCTGTGAGCGTCGCGCGTGCTTATCTCTTGAATCTGCGTTGATAGCAAAGTGAGCCTGCGCCAGGCGTCGCGGTGCCTGCCTGACCAAAACACCGCCGATAAGCGGGCGCTGACTCACAAAGGATCCGCGTTCGCAGTGCCAACGTCGGCTCACGCGTCAGCCAGTCCGCTCTCTCGACCACGCCCCTTCCCACGTCAGGTTCGCACGCTGACATCCTCCGCAGTTACAGAAACCGTTCGCTCAACTTCGTTGTGTTGGTGCTTCGTGTGTATTGGGCAAATCATTCGGCAAACTTTCGTCTGCTAGGCTGTTCTTCGTTGCCGATTTAATTTGCCGGTTTAAACTTGGACGCAAAACCTAGGAGGGGAAGTGCATCTAGATCTCCGATCGGTGTTTATTTTTTTCAATAACATTACCGTCTGTCAAGCACTTGGCGCGTGGTGAGATTTTGCATTTGCTTTTGAAGGAGCTTGACATTAGGTACGTACGTATAGCTGTTACACAAACCCTGATTTGCCGATACTTCCCAGTATTTAGTATTCGGAGAGCTTCTGATTTTCGAAAGTATTTAAGCGGTTTTGCCGCAGCGTTTGCGGGAACGTACTGCACACTTCTGGTAATTTGCCGCGATAGGCTCCGCAGCGTTTGATCATCAACACTACTTTAGCGTTCTGCTAGTTTGAAATAGTTTATCGCATTCGAAAGCTCGGTCGTCTACTCGGATGACCTATCTGTATCTTCGTTCGGTTTCACAGAATTCTAGTTTCGTCGGTTTCTTAGATTTCCGTAAGTTTTCTTGGGTTTCCAAGAAAGCTTGTTGTTGCACAAGCGTAAAATAGTAGGGAGCAGTGCTATAAGCAAGCAACATACATTACTAACGGTTTGACCGGTTGTAGTGAACTTGATCATGGACAGTGTGGGGAAACGCAAAGCGGACGACGCTGGCGGCAGTGCTCCCAGGAGTACGCGCGTCAAGCCCGATCCCGGCCGTGACGTCAGCGCGAGCGTCAGCGGAAGCGGCGAGCCGGAACGGAGTGCACCGCCGCAGCTGGTAGCCGTTGTTACAGGCAAGTTTGTGGTGTACAGTCGCTGGTCGGCGGTGGAGGCGTATCAGTAAAATTAATTTCATTACGACAATAAAAGCTGATGCCTTAAATGATGGTGTCCGGGTTTCTTTGCTACGTAGGAACGCCACTGTCTTCCGCAGCTGGCCAGGACTCTAAGGCCGGGATCGTCCAGCCGCGGGCCACTGTCGCGTTCCCGGCGATCGTGGCCTCGAGTACCACGGCCAGCGCTCAGCCAGCCAATACGCGCCAAAGCCTGCCGCCACCGCCGGACGATCCCACCGTGACCGAGGCGGATCTGACACTGGACGCTTTGCTGACGCTTCTTCGACAGGATATCATTCAATTCTCAACGGAAATGGAACTATATCAGGTAAGGAAACTGGCCGAGGCCGGCAGACAGTCGCACGAGAATGATGATGGTTTTAGACAATTTGCGCCAATGGTTTTCTCTATGCATTTTAAATTGCTGGATATGTGGTAACTTTAATTTTAATAATTTCTTTTAAAATTAATAGTGAACACTGAAGTAATTTTGGACTTAATACAAGTGTATTTTAGTTATTCAAATTTTTCAGTCCAATCTCGCTTCAGTTGCTACGCCGCTTACATATCGTGGAGGTATCTGCAGTTCTGTTTTGTAATATGGTTCTCGACGATTATATATCGAAGTTCTACGTATACGGTATACGTTGTCGGACGCTCTTGTTTGCTGTTCGTTTCGATCTTCATAATTTCGGAGTAACAGAGGCGCTACGTGGAGCAGTAAATACTTAATACAGTATTAGAGTAGATTATACTCTGTACATATCACGTGATAAGCTGTACCAAACGCTTAATGTGAGCACTCTTCAAAATACGCTGTTGTTCTGAAAACCTGTCTGCCTGGTTAGAGAGTGATGAAATGGTTACCATTTTTTTCAAATTTTAAATTAATTTTTAAAATTTTTGAAATTCATATAAAATTTTTAAAAACATGCTGGAAAGCTGGTTCGGTACCAAAACGATCTTCATAGTAATCTGCGTTTTCATGCAAAATTTGAAGAGAATCGGTTCATAATGAGACTTTCGGTACACCTCCGCGCGTTTAAACTTTTGGAATTTTATTTCCTTAATGACTCCCGAACCGGATGTTGCGCGCGCAAACGGATTTTACGCCTACGTATACAAATCCTTTGGCTAAAAAATGTCATAAAGCAATGCAAAAAGGTGTTTAGGAGTGCGAGCGAAATATCCCGTGTATGTATCCGAATTTGGTACTATGTACCGGGCCAAATCCCTTAATGTGAGCACTCTTCAAAATACGCTGTTGTTCTGAAAACCTGTCTGCCTGGCCAGAGAGTGATGAAATGGTTCCGCGTGGACTATCCGGCGCGCTGGACACTGGAGAATTTCCGAGCCGTTCTACCGGAGCTGCGATGGGATCTGCTGGGCGACGCGCTATCCCTGGCTCTTCTCACCGCCACCGGGCCGCTGCGCGACGTTTTACTGGAGCTGCGGACGCGTCTCTTCCCGTCCAAGGGTGTCCGTCTGACCGCCGCACCCCGCGAGGGTCACTACACCGAGGTGGTCTGCCTGTTCTCCGCCGACGGGCACACAGCCAGTCTGCGCTGGTATGACGCGCGCCACAACATGCTGCGCCGCATCCGGTTGCCGGCGGAACTGCAGACGTGGAACACGGTCATGGAGATGGGCCCGCTAGCGGACAACCGGATGTTGTTCCGCGTCCAGCACCGGATGTATCTGCGAGCGTATGCCTTGACTTTGATTCTGAAGAATGACGCTGGTGGTGTGAAGGCGCAGATGGAGTGCATGTTCAACAACCACATGACCGATGCTGTTGGCCCGCTGGTCAGCCTCCAGGGCCGCGTGTACGGCTGGAGCACTGACACTTCGCCGTACGCGCTCTCCTTCGCGTACGATCCCGGAGCGCGAGGCTTTGATTACGCTATCCGTAACCCCACATTCGTTAGGTTAGTTTTTACAGCAATGTGTACAAAATATTGGGCGACTGATTCTAAGTTTGACCGGGTTGTTCGTCTGATTTCCAGAAAAGAAGCGGCGTTCGACGTGTGGAACAACCAGTACTTCATCATCCTGGGTGGATACCCAGCCATGGGCCGTGCCAGCGACATATTGCCCCTGGCCTCCGGTGAGATGTACGACGCGGAGACGAACGCCTGGAGCGATCTGCCGGCACTGATGCAGCAGGCGCGCTGCAGTTCCGCCGCTAAAATATACAACGGCTACCTATATGTAACGGGCGGAGTCGGGTTGCTGATGCCGTTCGGAATGACCGTTCTGAGCAGTTGTGAGCGGCTGCAGCTGGGCGTGGCCGGCGCCCAGTGGCAGCGCCTGCCCGATCTGGTCCTGCCGCGCTACGGACACTGCATGTTCGTGCTGAACGACCAGCTGTACGTGTGCGGTGGGTGCTGCCGCGACGGGGTGCCGCTGACAGAGTGGGAGGTGTACGATGCCGCATCGAATCGCTGGAGTGTTGTGCGCCCGGTAGAGCTGCCCGGGGCCCGCGCCGCACCGGTGGCGGCTTGTGTCACGCTGACTGTCAACTATAAATACTGAACGGAGTTAATTGGATCTAATTA